TCTCTCTCTCTCTCTCTCTCTCTCTCTCACACACACACACACACACACACACACAAGAGGAAGCATCCCTTGCAGCTGAGACTAACACAGAGCAGATCTACCCTACACCAAGTTTTCCTTTAAGACACACAACACTGGCTAATTCTGCATTCTAATCAACGTACAGTCCTAACCTTGGTCCCTGGCAGTGACCCATGCTCTGAGAAGGACAGCAAGTCCAGGGCCAGGGTGGACAGGGGCTGTGTGCTGCCCTTGGTGCTGGGACCACCACACATGCTTTTTCTTGGCCTCTCACACAAACCTCAGTTTTGCTGTACATTTCATTCTCCTCCTTTAAAACTTGTCAGTCTCTCTCCTTCCTGCCCACTGCTCCCTCCTTATCCTTCCTGCCTCTCCATCTGTCCATTCTATCACTCTTTCCCTGCCTGTCTGAGATAAGGCTGCCCAGACAACTCCAGCCCTGAGTGATGACAATGACAATGACGATGATGGTGGCAATCATCTCACCTAACATGTGTTAGCTCACTTCACCCTCACAGCAAACATGTAACAAAAATTACTATCACTAAGGTCCACTTTACAGTTGAGAAAACTGAGTCATCATCAGATTAAGGCTAACCTACACCTGAAGCTGATCTGGTGTTTCAATATGCATCTACTCACATTAACCTCCTGGGGGACCAGCCCAGGTGATTTTCCTTCTCAACTAGACGGAAGCTTCCAATGACTTACACCAAACTTTGTCTATTCTTTATCCCCAGTAGCTCTGAGCGTGAAGCAGACCATAAACACTTGCTCCAAACCCTCAGTGATCCCCTCTGCTGTCTGCGGGGAAAAGAGATGTCTTGGTCGCTCAGAGTTTGGTTCAGTCTGAGTTCTGTGAGAGAAGCTGGAGCACCTGTCTTGTCTACCACTACATCCTGCAGTGCAGCTTAGGACATAGTAGGTGCAGCTTAGCACATAATAGTGCTCAGAAGGGACACAAGAGTGTGTTTGGCTTCACCTCAAAGATAACCTTAGAAAACCTTAGATAACCTCTAAGCTTCAGTTTTTTGTCTATAAATTTGGGATAAAAATCCCT